TAGAGTATCATTTGGTTTGCTTCATGTTCCTCTTTCTGATGAGTAGTAATTTGGAAACTATTGTTCACAGGTCGAACAAAGTGTAAATTGCTCAGGGTTTGAACGTATATGTTTTTTGGCAACATGACAGTCCAACACTTCCTTCATTGGTCACAAAAATACAATGAGAGCCTTTTTGTTAATTTTTGTTTCATATGAATGTTCATTTTTGTTCGTTTTTGTTTCAATCTCTTTTGATGTCTTTTTGTATTCTTACGAGTTTATAATTCGCTCAAATCCTCAATTTTGACAATCTCGTTGCGTTTAAACAGCGTTTTTCAAAACACAGAAAACTACAAACTGGGAATTCAAGAGCGTTCCAAGATTAATTATAAAAATGGGGTTCAAGCAATGAAACAATTTTAAAAAATTTTTCGCGGTGATTTACTAAAAGAATTTAAAATTGAAGGTAAGATCAAAGTGACCGTTTTTCTGTCTGATAATTGCAATAAACCATTATATTCAATAAAACAAGCGAATGTTTACTAAATAAGACGCCAAATGAACTTCCTTGATTTACTCTACAAGAAAAAAAATCCGAGCGATTTCATTTTGATGAAATAGATGTGATTTCTTACTTTTGTATGTTTATGTTGTCCGAACTTGAGTTCTCCGACAAAGTAAATGTCTGAAAAGGGAAACTGACTCAATCAAAAAGTCCTTTTCAAACCAAGTTTTGCGCATCCAAGTTTTAAATTTACGTCTGAAATGGACTTCACAAGCAAACCAGTTTTAATTATTCTAGAAAATTTTAAATTAATCATCAAGTCCTATGATAATATTTTGAAGACTCTTTTTTTGTTAACCCGAAAAACAAAACTGTCAACATTTTCAGCAAAATTCTCTGTTTCTTCATTTCTTCGAAATTTTATAAAAATCAAAGTCTTGTAGCATTACATTGGGAAAAAATTTCAAGAGACCTGCTTTCCTCTCAAAACTTCTCAGCAAACAGCAATTTCTGATTCATTAGAAACAAAAATTTCAATCGACAGGGTGAGAAAAATTGCAGAATGGTACATTTACTAATTTTCTAAATTTTAGTACTTATGTTAGCAATATTGATTTATAGAGCAACTTTTTCATGGTCTTTTCTTGCAATTTCCTGTGTGTATAATTTCAACCTATTTGAGAAATTTGAGTCCTTAAAAGATAAACAACTTAAAATAATCACTTTAAAATGAACAAATTTGAGAAATTTGAGAAATGAACCTATTTGAGGAATTTGAGTCCTTAAAAGATAAACAACTTAAAATAATAACTTTAAAATGAACAAATTTCAGCTTGGAAACGACAAATGTATCTAACTCTTCGAATTGGAGTTTTAACTTAAACTTTTATTTTTGTTATGATCTCTTATAGATGTCTTGTCCACAAAACATTTGGCTGGGAAAAGTTGTAGAACAACAATTCAATTAGTTATGTATTTGATGTTGATTCCCATATCACCAGTTTTCTGTCTAATTATTCAGAATATGCCTTTTCATAACTTCGATGAAGGAATTTTAAGTAAAGGTTTCCTTCAATTGTATGCATCAAGCCACCGTGGTTAATTTTCTTCTACTGATTTATAACAATTTCCAGTAAATTTTTCACTCAATAAATAACAGACATTTAACAAACTGATATGTGCATAGCGTCCATTTTTGTTTTTACTTGTATGATAAGTTAATCGATCTTGCATGAATTGTTTCATTTGCTATGGCTAATTTTGGAAAAAATCGTACTCCGCCAACCTTACCATTAAGACTGCTACATTTTATCAAAAATTCGAAGTCTCTGATTTGAAATAATTTCCCCAATGTTTTTCATTGCACCAAGTGTGTCTAAAAGCTATGATCTGCGGTTCTGTTCCAAGACTATCATTATAAAGCTGAAATTTGTTTTTAAAGTTTTGTTAAATTCTAGTTGGTAAGATATATGACATTTTGCAGCCTATGTGCGATTTTGTCCAAATAGTTCCATTTCATAAAATGGCTCAAGTCGCTGAAGAATAATGATGCCTCATATAAAAAACAAGTATATCATCTGTTAGTGTTGAGTTTTGACGTAGATAAGGATGTCGCAGTCCGGATGTTTTCAAATTCATTAGGCTGAAGTACACAAGTATCTTCAATTTTTTTTGTTAATATTTGTACGAGGAAGTTGCTGATCACTAAAATCGTATCATTATATGTTTTCAAATTATAGTAATTTTCTGAAAATTTTTTTTTGTTAAATAGTCGGTGAACACTTATAATACAACATGTTTTATACTGCTTTTCGCCGGAGGATCGTTTTACTTTCGTTGAGTGGTCGCCGCACACTGTTGATGCGATACAACAAAACCTTTTTTAAAAATATCTCTATTACATGGACGTGGCAGTCCCTGCCCGAAAAACAAAAAAAAAACACTTCCAGTAATTTTTTTTACAAAGTTATTTACAAAACTAAGAACATAACAGGAAAAAACAGATGATCATTGTATTTGATCATACTTCAAAACAAGACTGCTCGTATCAGGGCGGAGCCCTGAATGTTCCGAATGCCTTTTAAGGTTTAGGGAGCAGTAATAACCTTAAAAAAATTAAGTGTAATAAAGTAAAATGATTTTTTTTGTGTAAAATTTGAAATTTTTTATGAAAATTTTCCCCCTACACGCCATATAAAGTACAAAAGAATATACTTTGCTCCTTGTAACAAATCAATTAGGCCAAATGAGCTTCTTTCAACCAATTTTGAACGATTCCTAAGACGGAGTAAATCTCCGCTTCCGCGTAAATAGCGCGAAATATATCGCGCATTAATTGTTCCAAATTGGCCAAAATGACAATCTATAAACCCTCATGACTTTATGAGAAATGATTACGGGTAAAAATATCTTTTCAAAACTAAGCTCAGGACAACAATAACTTTTGAATGACATTTAAAAAATCCGTCAAAAATGCCAGTTAAAAAGTCGAAATTTGTCTGAAGAAAAAAAAACCCACCCAGAGCACAAATATTCCGTTACTTTCGTATCAAAAGTCTGAACAATAAAAGGAAGTGTACTTAAACTGTTTAAACTATCTATACTTGGCTACATCTCTGTTAATCATAATTAAAAATAAACCATGTTTTTAAGTTCAATTGTTCAATTTGCTCTGCAAAACACTCAAGGGTTGAAGAAATTTTGCATCTCCTGCATCACTTTCTCTTGATCAGTAGAAATATGCGAACATAACTATTGTGCCGCCTTCATTCCAATGTTTGCATATTTCTATTGATCAAGAGAAAGTTTTAGTTCATTTTTTTTGTTTTTTCTTGTTATGTTCTTGGTTTTGTAAACAACTTTTTTTTAAAATACTGAAAGTGTTTCTTTGTTTTTCGGACAGGTTGTTCACCTATTTTGAAGCAAAACTTGAGCAGTTTGAGCGGTTTGTTTAGACAATTGCGCTCAAAATCTTGCTTTAAAATGAGCGATTTAAGCGGTTTTTGAGCGGTTTATCAAGAAAACCGCTCAAAAACAATTGAAGTCTTGCGCGGTTTTTGAGAGGTTTTTTAAGATAAACCGCTCAAAAACTGCTGAAACCGCTCATTATGAAGCAAGATTCTGAGGGCAATTGTCGAAAAAAAAACCGCTCAAACCGCTCAAATCTTGCTTCAAATTAGGTGAAAAATCTCGGCTCGGGTGGTTATATTTGTACACAGAAGTCGCTGACTACGTGAATTGTATCATTATATGCCTTTAAACTGTATTAATCTGCTGAAAACGTTAAACTGTTTTCATAAGTAATCGTAGAAGTTGCTGAACACTTATAATAAAACATTTTAAGATACAGTGCTGATTTAAATTATCCGGACAAAACGAACACAACTTGAATTTTCAAACGCGTTTTTCTCAAATGGGGTTAAGATTAGACAAAAAGTTAACAGAATAAAAGTTGCTTAAAATTTCACCAGAATTAATATGATGCCATTTTTTTCCGAAATTCTCAACAAAAAATTTACCCCAAAAATGGGTCATTTTGGCTTTTTTCAATTAATCAAGAATTACGCTGAAAATTTTTTGTTAATTGATGAGAAAATTATATCACAGGAAGCCCCTTACGCAGCTCAAGAAAGTTTAAGTAGAGTTAAATCTCCAAAAATTTGCGCAAATTGTTTAAAATTTATTTTTAAACAGATTCTGGGTTTTATAATAGTAAAAATCACTTTATTGACTATCATGTGAAATTTTTTTTCTCTTATACTGGATTTTGGAGATTTGACCCTCCTTAAGTTTTGTTGAGCTGCGTAAGGGGCTTCCTGTGATATAATTTTCTTATCAATTAACAAAATAAACTCAGCGTAATTCTTGATTAATTGAAAAAAGCCAAAATGACTCATTTTTGGGGTAAATTTTTTGTTGAGAATTTTGGAGAAAAAGTGGCATCATAATAATTCTGGTAAAATTCTAAACAACTTTTGTACCCTTCAATTTTTGTCTAATCTTAACCCAATTTGAGAAAAACGCGTTTGAAAATTCAAGTTTTGTTCGTTTTGTCCGGATAATTTAAATCAGCACTGTACAAGCAAAAAGTTTACACCAATTTGATAGTTTGCTTGATAGTGTTTGCTTGATTACATCTTTTTTAATCATTGAAATTGAAGCAAATAATAGGTTGTTATAATTCGAATATCACAACAAGGTTTTCGGGCATTTTTATGGAGTATATGAGAAAAAAACCTGCAAATATTTTGAACCCTTAAATCAAAAATTTGCCATTTTCACATAAAATGGGCCAAATGCTTTATCATAAGAACTTTCAGTAAAGAATAAACTCAAATCAGTCGATATTGAAGAAGATTGACACCTATAGGGGATTAATCATTTCCCTCGGATCCTATTCTAAAATTCTACCACATTACTTCAATTATAGTCAATAAGAGAAACTAAATCATAACCATTTAATTAATTTAGTGGAATTAGTTAAACTTTGCTTTAATACGAGGAATTCTGAACCCTAAAACCATCTGTCTGTACGTCCCTCTCTTCGAATTCCGTATCTAGCATAAGGATTTGAGTCAGCACCCGGGTAGTTCAATTCTTCTGCACTTTCATACGGAAATGCACGTGCCGGCGGCGGAGATGACTCGGTTGCGACGCTACTTGCTTGACGCTCATAGCTGTCAGCTGCATCAGTTGCCTCGACAGGTGGTGCCACTGATGTTTCGGGATCCCGTTCATCTTTGGCCGGAGCCTCCGACGAAGAAGCGTCACTTTTTTCTCCTCCGGCTCCTGCAGCGCCCGCAACTGCTTCCATTGCATCTTTTCCAGCGTTCAAGGTTGCGCCTGGAACTGTGACGTTAATATCTTTGACTTGAAACAGCGGAGCACCTCCTTCTTCTTCCTCGGATCGCTCTTTTTTGTCTTCTTCGGTGTCATTGTCCTCGTCCTCCACTTCAACAGAACCCTCAATTTTTATCGTGTTATCGTCATCATCATCATCGTCATCGTCATCGCCATTTTCGGATTCTTCGGTTGTTGTTGTCGGCTCTTCGGTAGTCGTCTCTTCCTCAGTCGTTGTTGTCGGCTCTTCAGTAGTAGTTGTTGTTTCTTCTGTTGTCGTCTCTTCTTCTGTCGTGGTTTCCGGCTCTTCGGTAGTTGTCGTCGTTTCTTCCTCGTCTTTAGTTTTGAGTGTATCGCCGTTCAGTCCCTTGATGTTCAACTCTCCTTCAACTTCTACCTTCATTTTTCCGCCCGAAGGTTCATGGGAACCTCCTGAAGAGTCTTCGCTTTCCGAATAGTCGGAAGAATCTTCGCCCGAAGACACATCTCCGGATGATTTTTCGGAAGCTCTTATCAAATTACCGAGAGGTAACAAAGGTTTAGAAAGAATACTTCTTGAATGTACGCCATTTTCCAACAGAACCAGAAAAGATAATGCAGCGAAAGTGATAAGGGAAAAACTATGCATTATTATCCCACTTTTATCAGCAACAACAATATAGAAGAATGACAATTGGTCGGTTAAATTCAATTGTGTAAGTGAAGATTCATTAGATTCGAAAGAAAAAGAAAATGTTCAGCATTTGCGAAACTCTGTTAGATTAAATACTTGGCCTTAAAACCTTCTTACTTAGTCGGTGATGCAAGTGCGTATAGGGGCTGCCTAAGAATCAAAAACTTTGAAAGTAAAGCAAAAAGAAATTCTTTGGTTCTTTATTCAACACAGTCTAGTAACAAAACAGTTATAACCGCACCACAGTTTGGTTATAGTTTGCAACGGGTAGGAAGCCTATGAGAACTAGAGCCAACCCGCATTCAAGAAAAGTGAAAACACATCGATTATAATGGATTTTTGTGGTCTAAAATGTTGTAAACAGAACCGATTCCCATGTTACGCTCAGACAACAAAATTGGACTAAAAATGGATTTAAATCCATTTTTTCGCAAAAACAAAGTGCATTATAATTCATTTGAAATCCATTTTAATGGATTATATAATAAGTAGAGAATCACATTAAAATGGATTTTTTCTATTTTATTTTTGTTTTGCGTCGTGCAAAATTTTGCAAGAAATTCTGCAATTATCATGTATTGAGTAACATAAAAAAGTAACAAAAATATCAAAAGTAGACAGAAAAAAAATTTAATTGAACAACAAGTAACCAACTTTAGTTTGAAATGTAAAAAAATTTTTATGTTCGTTGAAATTCGCAACTGAGTAAAGTGGAAAAAAATCGAGTATAATTTAGTTTCATTGTCAATATCCACAAAAGTGCAAAAAAATTATTCTAATGGATGAAAAAAGGACTTTGTTGCCTCGAAAAATAGTAATATTATAATCCCTTTTTAATTGATTATAATCGATTTGTTTTCACTTCTGTGGACACTGAGCAGGAAACTCAATTATAATAGCTTTTTATTCATAGAACTCCATTGCGGGAATGCCTGTTATTTTTGTATGAAAAGTGAAACGAACAATAGAACACGTTTAAATCATTCAAATTGTTTAATTTTGACTCATCTGTGATCAAAGTTGATCAAAATATCCTAGCAAAACTTAGGGTAAGGAAACTATGAACCGGCGAAAAGTTTTTTTCATCCTCAATTCTTTTTTTCAATTCACATCATTTAAAAGCCGTGGTTCTTGTTGAAACTAAATTGCTCATCAATATCCCTTCAATAGGTAAGAAGAAACTGAAGACTTCGTTTTTGAGCAACGAAGGTTATTCTTCAACTAAGACGGAAATAAAGACTTCAATTTTGCTCAAAAAGGGCCTTTTAATGTTCCCAATTTAGAGGGAGGAGCGCGCGCCGAAAAAACCCGAGTTTTTGGCCGAAATTTTCCAAAAACTGCCTAAAACGCCTTTTTTGGTCTGTTTTTTGTTTAAAATTTGCTTGTAGAAATTTTAGCCAGGGTTTCTGCAGTGCTTCGGCAGAGCTCGGAAAATCAATTTGGTCGACATAAAAAATAGGCCGATAATTGAAAATCCACCCTTCCTCGAGAAAGTCTTAGATCCGCCTCTAGAAGCCTAGTATACAGATCTAGTTATTTTAGAATTTGTTGGTTTTCTAATGCTAAATTTGGTGGATGGTTTAGTGGAAATATTGAAAAATTGGATCTTGTTAACTATCCCCCTATGGTACCTTGTAACGAATCTCCCCCCCCCCTATAAAGAAAGAATTGAACAGTTAAGAATATACGAGTTTGGTACCTTGAAACGAATCCCCTCCCTGTTGCAATTGTTAATAGTTTTTTTTGGCGGGGGGGGGGGTTGTTAAAAAGATCTAAAAAACTTTGCAAAAGTCTTATTTTCAATTTTAGCGGGTAATTGACCATGTTACTTGCGACATCTCCGAAAAAAATTGCTGATGTTGTTAATGAATACACTACCTGAAAAAGGCCGTGCGATGTAAAACAAACGATGAATTACAGTTTAAGGTCAATTTTGTCGCAAATATGTCATAATTTATCGAAAACTTGTGAAATTTATTTCACGTTATCTGAATATAACGGAAAATAGCATGCGAACTAATTAGGCCATGACAAACATATTTGTTTTTCAAGATCAACCTTGTAAATCCCCTCGTTACACCACAAAATTGATGCTTATGAGGAATAGGGGGAAAGGAAAAAGAGCCAAAACTTAGAGTTGAGTTGTCATCTTTTGATTTTTGTGAAGTTTTGAATTGGAATTGTCAAAGATTTTAATTCAAAATATGAAAATCATACAGCAAATTCAGGGATTATTTTGAAATTTAATTCTGGAGAAAATTTTCCTAAAGTGTATGGCGACTCTTTTTAAGTAGTAACAAGACTGCTCGTGTATCAGAGCAAAGCCCTGATTGTTCCGGCTGTCCCTGAATTTATATCAAATAGTTTTTGGGTAAAGAAAAATGCGTAAAATTTTGAGTTGTACGAAATTAAAACGACCAATTAGCTAGCCTCAATTCAATCTGGAATGCTTTTGTCGTGCGGGATAAGAAATTATTTCGTCGTGCATTATGAATAAACTCTTCAAAGCGAGCAGAATTTAGACCACAACGTGGCAAATTTGGCAATTTTCAAACCCCAGATTTATTTTTACAAAAAATTATCGGAGGTGAAATATCTTTTTTTTGTTTGGACTCAGGAAGTTGATATCTTCAATGGAGTATAAAAAATTTTTGTTGAAAATAATTAGTTCGATCGGTGAAAATTGACTGAATAAACAAAAGCCACACCGAGCATAACTATTCCGTTTTTTTATTTGAAAGTCGAAACAATTATCAAAACTGCTTACTACTTGCGCGTGTAATTTTTTTTTAAATTTTTGATTGATTTCAGATCTTTTCAATTTTAAAAACAGAGGTAGGATCTTGTTAAATACTTCCCCCCTAATTCACGTTTCAAAAACTCAAATTTAGTTGTCACATTTTTAATAGCTAAAGAAAATTCTCAGAAAATATATTTAATAAGAATTTTTTATGTAGGTACTATATAAATAGTAGCTATTACAAATACAAGCGCGCGAAAATAAAAACCCAATTTATTTTTGACATTTTTAAAATGCATATTTTATACAGAAATGTATGTCAAAAATAATACATGCAAAGGGGGAAAAAGTTAACAAGGTGCAAAAGGGAGATAACATAATGTATGTCAAAAATAATACATGCAAAGGGGGAAAAAGTTAACAAGGTGCAAAAGGGATAGTTAACAAGATCTCAGAGGTATATTGTTTAAATTCTTCATCTAATTTTTTAGACCTTAAGGTCAACATTGAAAGATGAAATTCTATTCTATTGAAACGTTTCTTTCAGTGCATGCTTGTCACGCTACGGTTCCGTAGCACTACTTTTTTACCGGATAGGTTCGTGCAACTTTTTTGATTGAACTCAATTGAATTCAATCGTGTTTCGTTACATCAGTGGATCTAAGGGAATACTGGTACTGCAAGAGGGCTAAGAGGTTAAGTCTATTCGATTCCAAATCAATACAAGACTGCCCCTTAAGTTCTATTTTTCCGACTGCCTCTTAAGTTCTACGGAGCAGTAATAACATGAAAAAACGTACAAAATCAAAATTAAAGTTTTTTTTTTATTTCGCAATTTCTTTTAAAAATTCATCCCCCACACGCCATATAAAGTACAAATTGATAGATTTTCTTCCCATTAACAAATCAGTTTGACAATTAAGCTTCTTTTTGTAGTTATGTAAAGACTACACAGACAAAGACCATTATCTAAATTGTTTATTTAGCGACCCACTTCTAAATAAGAGCTTGCCATTTAAATTAAAACCTCTGTTCACTAAATCAGATTTTGGCTGATTTATTCTTGTTAGGACTATTAAATCTTGTTTTAAAAAATCCAATAAATTTTAAATATTTGTCCAATTTGTCTCATTTTTTCAAGCTCAGCATTTCATAAGGGCGGCGTATACTTACACGTCCCTTTTAACTATAACTTAAAAAATGGATTAATAATTATTAGTCTTGTCGGCCGCCCAGGATTTCTCCTTGTTTTGATGCACCTGGAATATGACGCATCAGAGACAGTACTATGAATATTTATTGAGATCGAACTGAAGAAAGCTGCGGTTTTGATCAAAAGAGACAAATAATTTGAGGATATTTGATTTGAAAAAATCAAATTAAATCTGATTGAAAATTCCCTTATGATGAAAAGAGAATAAAGGAGAAGCTTTGAAACCTGAGTGTTTTGATAGATAAATCTTCAGTGTTTCATTTTGCTCAGTCAGCAGCAAACTCTCTACTCTAATAATTTCAGTTTGCAAATAAATAAACTTCTCTTTTCAGTTTTACAAAATTATAAAAGTTAGTTTTTAAAAACAAAAACTGAATTTAACTTTTTCTTTTCTGTAGCTTTGATAAAATAGTCAATCGAGATAATCGCGACCGAGGCAAATCAGAGCAAAAAACCACTGGACAAACCATCACTATACGACTCAAAAGAAGCGGATCCACCGAATATTGACTCGAGAACTCTACCCTATCATCAACTTTAGTAAGAAGAAAAAATATGAATGTGAAAATAAAATTTAAAACCCCATCCGTCAAAGTGATATTTCTTTAAGCTGTTCGTTTCATTTGTATAACACTTTGCTTTGTAGTCATCCAGCTCATTAATTCATACTCTTTTCTAACAATTGTTTCTACTATAATTTTTTGTCAAGAAACATGACGATCCTACGTGAGACTTATAATTTAGGATTGGTTACTAAGAAATCAACCAGCAATGATCGCTTAGTAAGCTCCAAGCAATTTTGAACAATTTCTAAGACGGACTAAATATCAGCTTAAGCATTAATAGCGCGAAGTATATCGCGCGTTAATTGTCTCAAATTGGTCAAAATAGCAATTTTTATAACAGGTAAAATATAAATAATCACAGGTAAAATATTTTTTCAAATTTAAGCTCAAGGCAACTTTACGTTTCGAATGATGTAAAAAAAACTCTGTCATAGTT